AAAAAAGGTCAGCGGGTGAATGAACTACCGACAGTCAGGCAGCCAGCAGCTAGTTTGCTCGGGCCCGAGATGCGGTATCGTCCAACTGCTACTCATTCAACTACGAGTACTACATATGCATGTATGTATGTACATTCATATGTATGTATATGCAGTCGATGGGGTGGCAGCCACTAAAATCGCAGCAGGCGAGCGATCAGCAAACGTATCTCGTATAATAATCGTTTAATTTCGCAAATTCACGCATTTGTGGTTAACGATGGCGTGATGTAAATTGTGAACACCACATATTGATGGTCATATAGCTTTTACTCAATGAAGTCGATCCGCCTCCCAGGCGCATCACAGGCCCATCTTATGGATCTTAATGCCTAGATTCAGCCAAGTCTCAGATTATAGAGATAAGGTCGAGCTAAAGTCCCCGATACATACTTATATGTATGTCGCGAATGCCTGGATAGCCCAAATAATATATAATATCCGTTCATGATATGCTCTTTACGAATGACAAGCAGTGGATGACTCGTTTATCGTTAATCGATCATCTCGTTTAAATTCAATGTGCTCTCAATACTGTCGTATGGAAGTTCCATCTGGAAAGCCACTACTGCAAAAACCAGTCGCTTGCAAATTTTCGTAAGCAGATGGCTTAGCAAGATAAATTTGTCTCCTAAAACAATCGCAAGTGATTAGGCAGAAAGGATAGGAGGCTCCAGCCCCTTGATATCAGGATTTGAAGACAGAAATGGAATGGCTATCCACAGCCCACAATTTTCGCAAAGAAAATGACAGAATTGCGAAGAAAGCCTCCCGGCAGACCGCGCTAAACATTTGACCGAGCTTCGCCCATATTTGGCATACGGTGAAAGGAGCTTATAGCGATTTTCAGAAACCGAACCTGATGATGCGCAGGCGTAGAAGTTTGAAGGTTCAAGTTTGAAAGTTGATATAGATTCCTTTTAACCCAAATGTTTCTCTTTATCAAAATATTAATCGATCTAATAGGTTAGATTAGGTTTCGGTGGTTCCATTGGCCCACTTAGGCCAAGTGATACCACTGTTACTCTCTTAATTTGGCTGTAATGTGTTTTAGCTGTAGTCTCTCCATCCATCTAATCGTCTTTAGTGTTCACAAGAGTGGTTCGGTTTTCTTCCTGGCTACTTTCCCTGCGGTTCTCTTGAGCTTGAGCCGCGAGCTTGCACTAAGCTACGCATTCGAAGCTAGCTCACTTTGGTCCAAGGCACATTAAACAGGTAGTATCAGTAGAGCAAAAACAACATTTGCGTGTATTTTGTTGTTGCTTCTGGTATCGAAAGTGTCAAAAACTGTTCTGAACTTTTTCTTCTAAATCAAAGCGTGCCATGTGAAATACAAAAAATTATAAAAAATAAAAAATTGAAATTGAAAAAAATAAAAATTGATGCAACTTTCTTTCTAGTAAATTTGTTTGCTTCTCGAAGCATTGATCCATCCTTTGCAAG